ATCCTTTGGTATCTGTGTGTATTTACTTGTGTGTCCCAGGGCCCCCTCCTGTGTGTGCGCCTGCTGCCCCTCCCCCTGCCTCCCCTGCAGCTCTCTCGCCCTGCCTCCACGCAGGGCCCGCCGCCCTGCCCCGAGGCGGGCCGCCGAAGGGCGAGGCAAGGAGAAGCTGGTGCCGGAGGCGACCGTCGTCGGTGCCGAAGAAGCGCCCGTGGTCGGCGCCCCGGCGTAGCGCAAGATTATTTTTTTTCATTGGTAATATTATCATTGTATCACTTGATAAACAACATATATATATATATATATGTTTTATCAAGTAATTTATTAAAAACCAATTTTAATTGTATGGCACGGGGCAGGACCTGAAAACGGTGTTTTTGGGGGATCTCGTGGCCGTGTTCGTGTTTCGGTGTCGTTCTGCGGTGGAGGCGGGTTCGAGACAGAAGCGAGGGACAACGAGCACGAAACGAGAACGAAAAGCACCGTTTAGGTTCAGCCCTGGTACGGCACGCCTCGGGGCTCACCTCCGCAGGCGGCGCGCCCCGGGCAGGAGTGCCAGGGGAGCGCCTCGGGAGGGGAGTCGGAGAGCTCGACGGGACGTTTCGGGCGCTCCCGGGCAGCCTTGGAAGGCCAGAGGAGGACAGGGTACCCGTACCGCTGCCCTTCCCTCGTTTTCGCCTTTTGGGGCTACACTGGGAGGCTTCGTCGCCACCGCCGGATTCGCTTCGAGATTTGGAGCAGAAGGCACCCCGGGAGAGGTCCGGGGAGTAGCGGTATCGGTACCTTTTGGTTTCCCCAATTCAGAGAGCTTGATGAGACGTTTGGGGCGTTCTCACGCAGTCTTGGAACGGGCATACAGTCGCGCGGCAGCCTCACCAAATGGTTGATTGAGGGGTTGGGTGAACTGCAAGATCGCCGTCAGCGCTGACGTTCTCTCCGTGGCGATCGCATCGTCGTGTAATGTGTGGTGGTGTTCAGCTCCATGAGGCACGCTTGCGCAGAAACACGCACATACAGTGGGGGCCCATGCCAAGAAACACCATGCTTGCCTCCAGGGTGCCCTGTGTGGGTTTCGATGGTTCTGCCATGGAAAGCGTGACGCTCCCACACCAAGAATCGATGGACATCCCTGGGGCTTCAGGGTTGGGTTTCGTCTGGAAGGTTTTTCTTGTGGACTGGCCTCCACCGTAACTGTAAGCACATGTGAATTCACGCGCATGCTGCTGGACAGCGAGCAGGGCTCTCACGTTGTTCGACGGCGAGCGGTCCTGGTCCGGTCGCTGAGGCACTCGTCATTGCAAGGTGGGTCGCACAGTACGGGCTACGGTTAAGTCGGGCGTGTCCCTCTACAGGAGGATTATTCAGTTTTTATCTTTCGCCCAAAATCCGCCTGTGGTGGGACATGCCCGACCTAAGGCTACGGTCTTCCCCATTGCATGTACAACACAACGCAGCAGCGTAGTAATCATAACACGGGGTGTGATCGTGTTCTTATTCGTTGTTTTGCCGATCGACGCGGGATCGATTGCCGATCGACGCCGTTTTGTTTTTTGTTGAAGCATTGGATCTTTGAGTACGTGGAGTGGTCGATTCCGTTGGTCGGCCTCGTGCAGAGGGGGGGAAGGGGGCGGGGGAAGGCTTCTTAGAAGGGGGCTGCTTCAGAGAACGCGCGGGCTAGATCAGGCCCGCGCGTTCTCAGAAGCAGCCTCCTTCTAGTGATCGTTTTCTTATTCGTTGTTCTGCCGATCGGCGCGGGCCCTCGCACCCCCCCTCCCCCCCATGGAGCAGATCTTGGCTGTTTTTTGGCGCCTGTTTCGAGCAGGTGGGGTCTCCCCCATCGGACGCACTGTTGCAAACAGCCGCACTAAGCAGAAGTCCAGAGCCAGACACCCCCCCGTCCCCCCCCTTCCGCCCAATGTCGAAACGCCGAATAAAAAAATGTTCACTGCTTTCGGACTTCCCTTGCAAACGTCGTACATCACGTCGCACGAAGATGGAATGGCTCCTCTCTTGCTGTGTCTTGCTTCGTTGGGTACCTATTATTTTTAGCTCCGCTGATGTGGCACTCCGTTGTGCATGTCGCAGCACATGTACATATCTTAGACCATGTTCACACGCGCCAGCAACAATCTTCCAGGATCCCTCGCGCGGCGCGGGTGTCAGCACAATGAGTCGGCGGTGAGCGAGGGGGGGAAATGCGAAGGGGTGGGCCTTCTCAGAAGGCTCGGAAGTCCACCGGCCTTCTGAGAAGCTTCTTGAGCCTTCCCCGAAGACACAGAAAGCTCCTCAGAAGGCGCGAGGGTTTCTGAAAAGTCCTGCCGTCCTCCTCCTCCTCCTCCTCCTCCTCCTCCCCCTCCTCCTATTCTTATTCCTTATTAGAATATACTCCTACTCCCCCCTCAGGCCGGCAGATAGGGGCCCCATCCGGGTGGTCCCACCCTAACCTGTAAAAAACAATACAAAATCATAATTTTTCTTATTTTTCCCTCTCGACATGGACGTCCTGTCGTCCACGGCGATAATCCATTGCAAAAAATACCACAAAGAGCACACGCGCGCGTTCATGTCAGAATCCTACCGAACACCGTGTGTTTGCAAACATTTCAACATAAAAACATCAAAAACCCAATGTTTTTTCACAAAAATTCTACACATTTCATGCCCGGGCTCTCTTGCTGAAATCAGAGGAAAACCATAGGAATCTTAAGAATTCGGTCAAATCCAGCGATTTCACGTCATCGCGCGGTGCACTCGCGATGCTCTGTCATGCACCCAGGCCGCGAATCCTGTGCAACAAATACCACGCGGGCGACATGCGCGCGCGTCGCCGCGAGCGCATGCTCAAATCCTTCTAGAGTCGTCGCCGTCATTGGCACCGTCGCATGGACGTCCTGTCGTCCACGTCGCAAAATGCATGGCAGGAATGGAACCCGGCTTACCGGGCCGTTCTCGACACGGCCACTTCTGGCTTCCTGCGGTGTACCGGGCCATTCTCGACTCGTCTGGCAATGCGTGCGCGGCATTCAACACGCGCTCGCCAGTTCCCGTCGGCAACCGCCATCGCGGCCGCATCAGCTGTACCAAACCGGCTGGCCGGTGTGACTTCGGCCCCCAGTTGTGCCAGCTTTGCTTCTTATGTTGTGGGAGGGCGGGCGGGACTGGGCATGCCATGCTTGACTCGCTCGAGCTGGCTAGCTTGACTCCTACTCCTACTCCTCCTACTCCTCCCCTTCTTACTTCCCCCTTCGCTCGCCGCCGAGTGAGGAGGAGGAGAGCACGAACTCGCAGACACTGCGTGCACGGCACCCCTGGCGCTTCCTCGCGGGTGGACGTCCACAGCGCGTGGCGGCGTGGCACGCCGCCGAGCACGTCTGCTTCGGGAGCGCAGGGTGTTCCGAGGCGGGCACGCATCCATAACAGCAAGTTGGGCCTGTCCCTCTGCAGGGGGAGTACTCAAAATAAGTTCAAACATAGTCAGAGGACGATGCTTTGACGATGCTTGTGGCTGGCTTGAATAGTTTGGGGGGCTTTTTCTCATCCAAAATCCCCCTGTAGGGGGACATGCCCGACCTGACCGTAACCACCGCCTGGGGGGATCGATCTTCGCCGACGTCCACAGGCGGTGGATATGGATATATTCTCAGGCGATCGCGAGCATGGATCAAGGGGGCGTGGATTAGCGTCGGGTCCCGTTTCCATGAGAAGTCGCGGATTTCCTCCGCCGAACGAGGCGGCACCAGCCGCATTTTAGGGAGGGCACGTCCCCCGATCCATGGATTTGGCGACCGCGCGCCAAATCCATGGATCGTTAATCCATGTCTGCGCGCCCCCGATACTCGGGTCCTCGGGGGGCCAAAATATATCCATACCCGCCGCCCGCTGGGTCCCCAGGACGTCGGTTCCCAGGCGGTGGATGTGGACAGAAATCCCCGCCCCGCAAGCGCTGCACAGCAGGAGACCCGTCAGAAGGTCGGTCACCGGGCAGGAGGGCGCAGCGAGCGGCTTGGCTTAAGTCGGGCATGTCCCTCTACAGGAGGAATGCGCAAGAGTAGGAAAAATCATCATGGAGACGATATTTTGTTTTGTACTATTTTGATTACGGTTTGGCCATGCTTGATTTCTCATCCAAACCAGCTTGTAAGAGGACATCCCGACCTGAGACTTGGCCAGATGAGCCTGCAGGCAGAGTGGATGGCTCTGTGGGCACCCACGCCGATGAACGTCTGCGTAGCTCTGATGGTCCCCCCTCGTGGGATCCGCGGATGGTCTGCGGGTAGTAAGTACAGCGGGGACCCATGCCAAGAAACACCCTCCTTGCCTCCAGGGTGCCCTGGGTGTCTTTGGTTTTAGTGGTATTACTATGGAAAGCGCGACGTTCCCACACCAAAATTCCATGGACGTCCTGGGGTCTCAGGGTTGGGTTTCTTGTGGAAGGTTTCTTGTGGACTGGTCTTCACTGTCTGCGCAACTCTGATGGTCCCCCTCGTGGGATCCGCGGATGGTCTGCGGGAAGTAAGTACCTTTTGCATTGCCGCCTTAGGTTTTCACCGCCCACCAAACCACCCCAACCCGACCCGAAGGCCCCGATGTGCCCTTCATTTCCAGTGGGGGGGGTCGGGGAATATGGAAACAACACGCGTGGAACCCAGTACCCCCCTCCCCAACCCGAAATTCGGATCTTCGGGTTGGGTCGACTACACCTAAGAGTGACCTTTCGCCGGAGTGACCTTGGGTGCGGGCCCATCGGGGTTCCCCCGATCGCCGAACGCGATGCGATAGTAGCGTCTTGCGCGCTTGTGTTTGGCCCCCCCGCGGCCCCCAATGAGCCGCGCACCAAAGGTCACTCTTACCCAGGTACACTCTTACGTGTAGCCGATTGGGTTGGGGCGGTCTGGTACGCAGTCAGCTTTAGCTTGCACATAGTTGTTGCGCCGACTTTTTGCTGGGACGGCCTTCGAAACGAGGCCGTCCGGGCCCAGCCCTGTGCGCGCCCGATGCGGCAGGAACGCGCCGGCCTCCTCGCCCTCTTCGTGACGGCCGAGATGGGCATCTCCAATGGAATCGTCGCTTTCCACCCCCCCCGAAGAAGTCGTTGGAGCCTCTGGTGTGCTGGTTTTCAGAGCTCCCGTGTCGGAGACGTCTCTCGAGTCCTCGGGGATCGGCGGCGCGGTGCAGAGGATCACGCGTTACGATGGGGCGGAAAATACCGGGCTTCTGACATGGTTTTGTCGATGCCAGTGGTTCGGGGGTCCCCTAGGGGGGTGGTGACCACACCGTGCGGTGAGTCGATGGGGATTCGGGGTCAACGCACGGTTTTGGGACTCGGGTCGTTCTCCGAGGACGTCTCGGGCGACTGGGGCATCCGGGGTCCCAAAACCGTGCGTTGACGGACCGTGCGGTGAGGTCTTTGGGGATTTCGAGGTCATCGCACGGTCCGGCAGCGCACCGTGTCGGGACTCCAGAGTGGTCGCTGCGGGCCCGCTCTGTACCTTCGGGGACTGGATGCCCCACCCTGCCCAGGGACGTGCGGTCCCCGCTTTCAGGTCGATTGCGGGTCCCGATTCAGGTCACAGACGATACCACAGGGTCAAGCTTTTCCTAGAGATCCGAAGGTTTGGTTTGTTCAGCACGGGGTCCCCGGAAGTCTCTGGTCCCCGGAAGTCCTGGGGACCAGTTTTTGTTCGTTCTGAATCCTTGCCTGACGGTCCTGGCGAGGGTCTTCGAGAGGCCACAAATGTTGAAGACGCGTTGTTTTGTATGTTTTTTTGATGTGTTGGATCTCTTGGGGATGTTTTGGATCTCTGGGTACGTGGCGCGGTCGATTCCGTTGGTCGGCCGCGTGCAGAGGGGGGGGAAGGGGACGGGGGAAGGCTTCTTCGAAGGAGACTTCTTCTGAGAACGCGCGGGCCTTACCTTTCGAGATCAGGCCTGCGCGTTCTCAGAAGCTGCCTCCTTCTGGCTATCGTTTTCTTACTGTTTTGCCGATCGGCGCGGGCCCTCGCACCCCCCCTCCCCCCCCATGGAGCAGATCTTGTCTGTTTCTGTCGCCTGTTTCGGGCAGGCGGGGTCTCCACCGTCGGACGCGCTGGTGCACTCAGCAGACGTCCGGAGCCAGACCCCCCCTCTCCCCCCCCCCTCTTCCGCCCAACGCCGAAACGCCGAAGCTCCCCCCGCTCCCCCCTACCCCCCCCCGTGTGCGCGCCGCCAAGTTGGGCGACGAGCTCGCAGTCGCTGCCCGCCCGGTGCCGGGCCCGCACCCGCCGGGCGCCTTGCCGCGGCCGAGGGGCCGACGACTCGTGCCCGTCGATGGCGGGGCCGCCGATGGCGGCCCGGCCTGTGCGGCGGGGCCCGTTCCTGCCCCGCTCGCGGACAGCGGTTCGTCGTCCACGGCCGCGCGCAGATCGGGGGTCTGCGCGAACGAAATGGGCACGGAAAGAATGGGTACCATGCCCAACAGCGGATCTGGTTCATTTTGAACAGGGCTCGCTGTCCACGCCGCCGCGGCCTGTGTCCGTTCGAGACAGAAGGCCGCCTGCCCGACAGCGGCCGCTGTTGGTTTGGGACAACATTTGTTGTTGGGCATTGTACCCATTATTTCCGTACCCATTTCGGGCGTCCAAAGGGGGCAACGATAGGGGGGGTCAGGCATAGAGGGGGGGATTCATCGACCCCCAATCGCCCATTGATCGCCGACAGGGGCCCGACGGCCCCAACCTGCCAGGGAGGCTGCGGACTCACCATCGGAGGCCTATCGCCGATCTGTCGGCGACGTATCGCCGACTTCATCCAGATCGATGTTTACCCCCCTGTGCCTATCCCCCCCTGTCGTTGCCCCTCAGAGGGGCGCAGAGGGAGGACGACTGAAGCGAAAAAGAAAGCAGCACTGCAATATAAAGGCTGGAACGGGAAAAGGCGGGCGGACCCGACGAGGTACCAGCCGGGTCGTGGAAAGCATTGGCCAAGGGCCCGTGCACTACAACAGATCACAAGATTGGCAAACAAATGTTGGATTGATAAACGAGTACCAGCTGCGTGGCGACACGTTTTGGCATCAACAATAGATAAGAACAAAGGGCCCGTGGATCAATGCGGCAATGACCGCCCTATCAGACTTTTGTGTCATGTGCAGATTTGTGACGGGCTTATTGTTGGGCAGGCTTCAAGAAGTTGGTGGTGAAGAGCGACTCGCATCAACCCAACTTAGTTTCAGACGGAAGCGGGGCACGCCGTTCATGCAGTGCGCTGGCATGAGCTTGCACGCGCTGAAGAACGGGGACAAACCGCATTATTGGCCCTGGACGGGAAGAAGGCAATCGATTCGATGAATGTCGCGTCATTATTGGAAGCGTTGGGGAACTTTGGGGTGCTACAACATATGCTTGCAATCGTTGAACAGATCTATACGAAAAGAAGCTTTTGTGTGGCAGAGGGGCCCAAAAGTTCTCTAGTAAGAACACAGTTGTCTGGTATTGCACAGGGATGCCCATCGTAATTTCTTATTCGTCATGGTAGTGGGAGCTATTAACGACAATGCCGAAAAGGAAATCTTGGTGGTGAGTCTTCTATTTTCCTTCTACGCAGATGACACCCTATTGGCTGGCCGCAGTGAAACGCGCTTGCAAAACAGATGAGATGCAGCTGCAGCGGGTGGAGCAGAGTTTGGAATGGAATGCATTGGAACAAACTCGAATCACTCCAACACGGATGCGATGTTCGACTACGAACCATTGCCGGAAAAAGCATTGAGCAAATCGGGCACGTGCAGCAGTTGGGGTCACGCAGTTACGACAATGAATTTATGAAACAAGAGCACAGCAGAAGTTTGGGCGCAGCTTGGGGGGGAATTTCAAAAGTGCAAGGCGTTGAAACATGCAGCAGTAAGCATACAAAGAAAGCTGTAAGTGTTTCGGGCGCGTATTTCAAGCATGGTCATGAATTCTAGACGCTTCGCGTAACCCCACCAACCCATCCAGAAACGATGCCCAGAGGAAGTGCCTCGATCAGGGAAGTGGGCAGCACACAGAGGAAGGGTCCCCCAGTGGAGGCCTCTTGGAGCGTCTTGGGGGCCTCTTGGCGGTCCCGGACGCCTCTTAGAGCGTCTTGGGTGCCTCAGAGCTTCTTGGGGCCTTTTGGGGGTCTCTTGGGGGCCTCTTGGAGGCCTCTGGGGCGCCTGTTGGGGCCTCCTGGGCGCCTCTTGGGGCCCTCTTGAAGCGCTCTTGGGAGCTTTGGGAGCGCTCTTAGAGCCCTCTTGGGCCATCTTGGAGTCATCGTGAAACCTCGGATGGCCATCGGGAACGAAAAGGCGAGAAAGCCCAAAACATTGATTTTCCTAAGGTTTTGGAAGGATTTTGGCCTCTTCGGGGTCTCCTGGGGTAGCTCTCTTGAGGCATCTTGGGATATCTTGAGCCATCTTGGAGGTCATCTTGGGCGCTCCCAGGCGCTCTTGGAGTCATCTGAAGCAGTGACCCCCTCAGGAGGCCCAAATGTAGCCAAAACCGGGGTAAAATCAATGATTTTGGCAGTCTCGCCGAGGCCTCTTGCAGCGTCTTGGGTTCCTCTGGGAGGCCTCTTGGGGCCTCTTGGGGGCCTCTTGGGAGCCTGCCTTTCCCCAGGAATGTAATTCCTGGCGCACGTGCAGGGGACCTGGCTCCATTACTCTTTTACTGCGACTGGAGGTTGGCTCAGCTTGCACGCTTGTGTTTTTCAGGCGGGCAGGAACACGGCGCTCCTTCAACACGCGCTTCTCGTTCAACACGCCTATCGCCGAGCCCACGGCGATCAGGATAATTGACGCAAACACTGTGGTAATCGTGCCGTAGGTCTCCGTCTGGCTCACACTCGCCGAGCAGGCGCCATCCGTGACTGTCACCTTGAAACCTTTGCTGGAGCTCACGTCCGATCCGTTCGCGGTCCGAGCCGTTGCGCACAGCAACAGCGCCGCCAGGACTTGGTTGGCCCCATCCGCTTGCCACGATCCTGCTCACGATCACGAGGTTCGTCATGCAAGCTTGCAACGCCTCCTGTTCGGGCGTCTTCGTGCCTGTGCCACTCGGGTTCTTGTTGCCGCCGATTCGCCCAATCTCGAACTGCTTCTATTCGCAGCGCCTGCTGGTGCCAGAAATAACGTCCGTAGGTGTCGTGCGCGCCCGCGGCCCATTCGGTGGATCATGCGCGAGCCGCGTCCGAGTCCGTGCGGATGATCCGCTTCACGTCCGCTGACAGTCTAGCTCCCAGCTCGGCGATCTCGACCATCACCTGCATTATTGTGATCCCCCGCGCCGCCGCCGAGCTGATCGCGTAGAACTCCGACTCCGCGCTGCTGAGCGCGACGACGCCCTGGGTGATGATGCACAAGCTCTTGATGAGATGGCCAGCGCTGGGGTCTCCGAGCTGGATCGCGCCTGCCGACGTGCTCTTGCACGTCTGGACGTCGCAGCTCCAGTCGCCGTCGGAGTGGACCACAATGTCGTTCCGAGATGCCTGGTAGAGAAACTCGATGCCGACATCATGCGTCCCTGCCAGGTAACGCGCCAGCCGCCTGAGTCTCATCATGCTCATACGCGTCGGGTGCGCCATGGCTGATGCCAGCTGCTTCACTGCGAACTGGATGTCGAAACGGTCTGGCCCGATGTACATGCAGATGCCCGTGCCCCTGCAGTAGATCGCCTTCTCGGCGCGCTTCAGCTCCTCGAATGCATCTCGCGCGTTATTGTCAGTCGCTCGGCTGACAAACGTCGAGAATAGCGTCGCACCCTTCGCGTCCAACACTATATTCAGATTCCCGAAATACATCGAGTCAAGCAACAGCATGAACCCGTTCGAACTCCACGACAAAAGCCGTCATGAAACCAAGCCTTTTTCTTCGACGACTGGTCCAACCTTCGGGAGGATCTTGGCCTTGAAGTTCCCCGTGATCATGGCGCCCACCTTGTCCAGCTGCTGCGGCTCGCCTTCGGCGTCGAAGACGTCGCCGTGGAACCCTGACAGGCAGCCCCACTCGCTGCGGCACGCCAGGCAGGGGACCGTCGACAAGATAATCCGGCCACGCTCTCGGTACGCGTCCCGCACCAGCTCCTGGAAGTCAGCGCTTGACTCGCGCATCCCGTACAATGCCTTACTCGCGAGCCAGAGCCAGTCGGGGCAGTTCAGCTCCTTCGGCGGCTCGGCCAAGACTGCCTCCTCCAGCTGCGCGTGGAAGAATGCCACCGAGATATCGCGCGACGCGAGTTGCCATGACTCTCCGCGCGATGCCAGCCTCGAGATCACCAACTTCAGCGCCCACGTCGGCGGTGTCCCTGCGTAGCGCTCTGGTGCGAAGACGCCCCCTGCGAAGTCCCGTGCGCCTATCCGTGATCGCACGCAGTCTGGCCCCTTCCGCGCGTGGACATCACCCTCTCGCCCGCTGGCTTCTCGCTGCGCCTCTTCCAGGCCATCACCTCGAACTCCTCCATCTCGTCGAGCTCGCGATTCACGCCCTCCGGCACCAGCACCTTCGGGAGGACCTCGCCCGTGCGCTGATCTTGGAAGCTGCCCGCAAACGACCCCTCGCCGAAGGTCGAGGCAGTCGGGGCAGGGGCCTCCTCCTCACAGAGCGCGCCGAGGGCCATGGCCTCGCCCACGGGCGCAGCGGGGGCCACGCCGATGACTGGCCCCTTCCTTGCCGGCCCCCCGCCGTGGACTGCGCCGCCTCCTCGCTCCGCACCGCTGCCCGCCGGCAGCTCCAGCCCTGGGGGTGGGCCGATGCCCCGCGGCTGTCCTGGCGGGCCCTGGGGCTCCGGGCCTCCTCCCGGCGGCCCTGGGCTCGGGCCCCCGGCGCCGCCTGCGCCGATCGCCCGCCGCGTCCGGATCGGCTGCTCAGCCCGCTCCTCGAAGATCTCCTCGAAGCGAGCCTTGCGCGCGATCGCGCGCGCGCGCTGGGCAGCCCCAGGCAGGCCGCGCAGTCAGGGCTCTCGCCGCGCTCCTGGACCAGGGCGCGAGTGGCGCGCCTCCGCCTCGCGCTCACCACCGGGGTCTCCGTTGTCGGGGCCCCAGGTTTCCAGGGCGCGCCGATGAACGTCCTGAACTCCTCCTGGATCCAACGCTCGCTCTCGCCACGCCTCTGGAACGACCGGGTGAACGACCCCTCGTGCTGCGCCCGCGACGACCTCATCGCTCTCGCCCCCCCGCCCGAGGAACACTCGAATCAGCTTGAAGTCCACCGTCTCGCCCACACACGCGAGAGGCGATGTGAATTCCTTGCCTCGCACCGTCGCCCAGGCACTCCGACCGTCACTCCCCGAGGCGAATCTGGTGATGACGTGGGCCGAGCGCCTGACCAACCGCGGGAGGATCACCGACTGGCTCGCCACCTTGGTCTTGCACTTGTCCTCGATGATGGCCACGCAGGTCCGAGTGAGCGACTCCACTC